CACACAAGTAAATCCACACAAGTAAGATGCAAACCAAAAAGTTAAATTTGCCTAAATTGATAAGTGCAATAGATTATTTAATTCAATAAAAATTTAGAGGTTTAATTGAGAATCTAGGTAAGTTTGAGGCTTAACATAAGGTTTTACCAAAAAAAAAAAAATGAAAGATAGACTTAACAAGAAAAGATCACCTCATTCACAGATTGTCTTGGCAATGAGTTGCAACTGGCCGTGCAGGGATCGCCACGATAGTGTACAGTAGAAGAACGCCTCGTGAACAAGGTTCTTGGACTTGTATGCATTCTTGGCTTCTTCGCGTGCAACATAATTGTGGGAACCTACATTGATGTCAACAAAATTTGATGGAGAAGCTTGTATCCAGATTTTGTCATAAAGGCCAAGGGTGTTTGGTGTAGGTTCATTAATTAAAACCACCATCTGCATCTGCTACCAATATGACATTTACTTAAAGCAGAGTGATAACGATGAAAAAGAAAAGAAAAAAAAAAGAGAGAGAGATTTTGGAGTAAAAAGTACATTTTTTGAGAACTCTACTTATTTTTGAAAATCCTGGTGTGTTTGGAAATGTGATTTTCATAGATTATATTTGAATTTAAACCTTATTTTAAATTTAATATTACTATTTATTTTTAGAAAATAAGTATACAATTGGATTTATCTCAAATACATGTAATTGAATTCATATATTTCATTACTTAAAATTTGTGTATTTGAAATACCCTCTCAACTCCATGTATTTCAATTTTAGATTTATATATTTTAACTCCTTTTTTTTTTCTCAACGAACAAATTGAATATCAAATTTATTGTTATTATATTAATCCAAATAATGAATTTTGAAATACATATATTTAAAATTATATACATTTTAAATAAATGTATTTAAAATACATCTCCTAAATACAAATTCAGGTTTCCAAACATATCCTGAGAGAAAATGTGTTCAATAGAAAGTGCAAAAGAAATTGAAGCTTTGATGTTAAGATGATCAATTAACACAGTTCATATAAGAAATATTCACTTAAACAAGTATAATATAAGAAGTGCACGGTTTGATCAAGAACAACAACTTAACCAAGTCTAAGTCTCAATTTTTAAGGGAAGATCAAACTCATTGAAAGCATTAAACAAAAAAAAGAAAAAAGAAAAAAGACAACACTGTATTTCTGGATTTTGTAAGGGTTAGAATACCATTTGTACTGTCAATAATTTAATTTGACATTTGGTTAAAAAAACAAAAATACACTGTATTACTGATGTGGTAGTATAGTAGCATATGAAAATAACATCAGTGACTGAATCAAATCCATGCACCAGTTAGAAACAATCCCAAAAAATTATTGAGCAAAATGGGTTGTTCAAGGTGGGCAAAATGTGGCAGTTAAAAAATTACTGAGTAAAGCCTCTTTTTGAAGATGAAATGTATACACTTTCTTAGATTCTCTTGTCTTGAAGGAAAGCATAGCCTGATAGGAACGAGAAAAAAAGATTAGGACATCTTTTCAGAGAGCCATATGGACCATACCTTCCAAAATGCATAGAGGCACTCCATATCCAAACATGCCAAAGAAAGGCTGCTTTGCTAAAAAGGAAAACTCACTAGGTATTAGCATTATATATCTAGCTAAAATTGATCAATAATTAAGTCTTGGTAATTAGATTTCCATAATCTCTATTTTCCTATCATCATGCGGCACTAATAATGTATTTCAAGGTATACACAAACAGAAAGATGAGATAACCGTGATCGGAAATTGACCTAGCTAGTATGCCAAGGGATAAGAAACAAACGCACGTTAACACTAAAGTTTTGTGAACTCTGAAAAGCATTAGTATGTATAATGCAGAGCCAATTCCAACCTGCATCATTTTAATGCATCTACCATCCATCCCATGACCAGTATCAAAAATTGAAACCATGTACTCAAGAATATCCATACTGCAATTATTTTAAGACATCATCTTCAACTGATGCCTATAATCATCTAAATGAGTTGCATGCTGAAAAAACGTACTAAGCCCTAAGCACCCAACCACCAGATAGCCATCTCTATTAATTCCACACTTAACCGATTTCCTATCATTTTACTGTTTAACCAGATAGTGGCATTAGGCCAGCAAAAATATTTACAGCTTGCAAGGATTTACTGAGAAGCTAATTTTACTCTAATAGGAGTACTATGTCATTCTAAGTAAATATAATGATGAAAATCAAGTATCATCCCACAAAAATTATAGACTCATTAAGTGCCAAAATTAATTAATCTTAATTTTATTTGAATAATTGAAATTAAATGATTTTATTAAAATAATTAACTAAACTAATTAAAAAAATAAAATTGACTTAAAGTGACACTAAGAGTTCAAATTCTAAGGCATATGATTTCAACATAGTTAACCAATATAAAAGTTAGATTAATATACTTCTAGTGTCTTTACTCAAGTGATCGCTAGATATCCTGACCTATTCAATATACATTTTCAAATTATGTCAAACTTATCTTCATTTATTAACTCACTGTATCTCTATATGAGTTTAAATATATAAAGATGTATGCTCTATGAACTCCCGAACTTAAGTAAAAATGTTTTACTCCACTTATGACTAATATTGCATGAATCATGTTGCTCCATCTCTACCTTTAATTCAATTCATGGTATATATTACCAAAATCTATTGCACAAAATCTCTTCTCCATCTTAATTATACTCTTTAAATCAATTTTAAAGGTGGTCAATTATTAAAAAGTATTAAGAATAATAATATATACCTTACATGAAATGATAAATTTCAAAAATATAAAAATAATGAAATTCTATATTCTACATTGTAGGCTCAGACAATTAAATTAGTTTATAATGAAATTATGAAAAAAAATGGAAATCAAATATTTTATAATGGATATAAGTGTATTTGATATCATAAAGTAAAATTCAAGGACAAGAAAACTAGTTTGATGAGATAAAATTTCAAACATTGATTTTCTTTTCATGTTGAATTCCTCATGACTGCCTTTCTCTTGGTCTCCAAAAACTCTCCAAAGTCTGATTTTAAATGAGTATTTATAGAGTTTGAGAATCCTATTTAAAAATAAGTAGGACCAGTGTCAAAAATAGAATTTTTACAGCTAAAAAGTTCTTAGAGTGCTAGTATTTCTGTTTATTTCATTTCACCCGACACCTATTTTCCAAAGGCTTAACGTATAGTATCAACACCTATCAGGTGGTGTCAACACCAAACCCATGTCGGGTTCTTGGATCTTTCCGCAATTTCATCAATGGTAAAATGGCAATCTAATCCTCCAGTTTCTATACAATGAGTACCTTGGTTCTATAACTTCAAATGCACTCATTTAGGTCCTTGAAAGTGACCTTTCTTCACACAATACAGTTCCTCAAATTTCAAAAGATATTCACTTAAGTCTAGAAACTTCTATTATTGTGCGTTCAAGTTCTTTTTTACATGAAGGATGAAAATTTTGTAAAATCTATTGAAATCCACATTCTATCTATCTAAATAGAAACAGAATCAAGGCTAAAATAAGAGATTAAAACATATAAAATGCATCTCATCATTTACCTTGACAAAACAAGCAAAAGCAACAAAGAATAAGTGCCCTTATATTGACCCAAAAAAACATATATATAATACATAGGTCAAACCCCTATTTGTACCCTACACATTTTTTCTTTTCACAGTTAATACCGTAAACTAATTTTTGTACCGGTCAACACCCTCCATAATTTAACACCCATAAAAAACCCCAAATTACCAATAAAGTCATGGTGCAAATAGAGGATTTGACTATAAATTCAAGGTGCAAATAGAGAGTTTGACCGTTAATTATTTTGAGTTTTTTATGGGTTTTGAATAGTGAAAGGTGTTGATTAGGATGAAAGTTTAGGGTGTTGACTATGAAAAGAAAAATGTGTAGAGTGCAAATAGGGCCTTTGGCCATACTACATATATACACACATATACACAAATATAATCATAAAAGAAGAAAACAATATCCATTGGCTCACCATCAAATTCGTGAGAGCAATTCCAAAGGTTTCTAGTAGCTCTATTAACAACTTTGTATTTGAGATCAAAATCTAAATATTTTATGCACTAAGAGTGCATTAGAAAACTCATTGAAAAATACATTGTGCAATAGAAACACATAAATAACCCACTAGCCTCAAAAGTACCAATAATCATCCACTCCCATCCTAATTTTGAGGGAGAAAAGAACCCAAATGAGTAGATCCCAATAACAAACCCATTTGGTTGAAACCAAAAAAAAAAAGAAAAAGAAAAAGAAAAAAGAAACAAACAAAAATATGGGATCATAGCATATATTGAAAGTTATCTTCAACTTGAGCACAAGAAATTAGATAAAGTAGCAAGGCATAAAATTACCCTTAGATTGCATTGCAGAGGCTTTACAAATGCAATATACTACTCTACCTACAAAACCAAATTCTACAAAAGAAATTGAAGCTTTGATGTCAATTGTCAAGGATAACCAGTAGACAGTTTATATAAGAAATGTGCAATGAGTAAAGCAAAATATACTACAAGAAGTGAAAGACTTTTATCAAGATCAATGACTTAATCAAGCCTCAATCTCAAACGTTTTAAAGTAAAAAGTCAAATTGAATGAAAGCATGAACCACATAAATATACTCTATTGCTAATTTGGTTGCATTATGTAACAAAGACACATAAATAACCCACTAACCTTCAAAAGTATTGATCATCTCTACAATACCATCCTAGTCTATGAGGGAAAAAACCTCAAATAACCCAAGCAAAAAGAAAGAAAAAAGAAACAAAAACAGGAGATCATAAGGTTTAGAAAAAGGAATTTTTATGTTATCTTTCAACAACCAATAGCGTTGACACAAGATAGAAGAATATGGCATCATAATCTGACTGAATATATTTTAGAGTTGGTGGGAGGTGAAGATGAAAGAGAGAGAGGAAGAGAGAGAACGAGAGCAAGCAGGGGACACGGAGAATCACTGGTGAGGCTAACTTCATAGAGATCAGTGTTTGGTAGGCAAACTGATTAGGTGCAAAGGCGCAGAGGAGATGGTAATATTAGACAAGAGGGATGCAGACAAAGTTTTTGAGGATACGATTGGAAGATTTATAACCAAGCTACAGCTTTTTTCTTCACAAACTTTCCTGAGGAGTGGAACTATGAAGATTTGTGGAGACTCTTCTCAAAATATGGGAGAATCTACTCCATTTACAGCCCAAAAAGGAGGGACAGATTTGGGAGAAGATTTGGTTTTGTCCGGTTTCTGGAGGTGAAGGATAAGAAAGAGGTGGAACGCCAATTAGATCAGATTTGGATTGGTCACACAAAACTCAAGGCAAACATCCCCAGATTCAAAGAGGAAGACCCGAATGGTAAGAAGGAAAGCAAACCAAAAATTGGGATGCAAAACCATCCTGAAAGTCGCCCGATAAACAATCAGATGCAAGGAGAGTCGGGAAGAAGATGGGGCAGTAGAATGGTTGTACCACACCAGTCTTATGCAGATGTCCTAAGAGGTAGCAGAAACATCAGACCCATGGCAAAGCATAGAGGAAACTCAAGGACGAAGCACTCAGAAAAGCCTAATAGAAGAAAATGGCAGAAGAAAAATAATGACAAGGAATGGACAGGTTTTGAGTTCAATGTGAAAGAGGAGGACTATAGCTGGTTACAAGGGTGTTACGTGGGCCAAGCACACTCTGTAGAAATTGTTCCATGCATGTAGGAGAGATTTTACATGGAGGGATATTTTGCATGTAAGCTGAAGGCAATGGGAGGTAAGCTAGTTCTCTTGGAGAGTGAAGATAAAGATGAATTGAAGGACTTAGTGGAGAATGCTTCAGATTGGTTCGGCCAATGGTTCAAGGAGATCAAACCTTGGAGTCCTTGCATGGTGGAAAATGAACGTTTCGTATGGATTCGATGCACAGGTGTTCCACTACATTCTTGGGGGCCTACATTTTTCTCCACTCTTAGTTGTATCTGGGGAAAATTCATTACTTTGGATGAAAGCACAAGCAAGAAGAAACGTTTTGACATTGCAAGATTCCTTATATGCACACCAGTCATGGATTCGATTTCAAAGAAGCTCAAAGTCAAGATCAACGTAACAGTGTACAATATCAGAGTGGCGGAAGAAGAATTCTCCAATAGTTTATTTTCTATCAAATCAAATTTCATTCTAGATTTTCCAAGTGATTTCGAAATTGAATCCAAGGAAACTTGGGAGATTGATAGCGTGGAAGATGAAGCATCAAAGGGAGTTGATATGGAAGTTGAAAAGTTATTCAGTGACATGGAGATTAGGGTGCCTGGGGAGGAAGAAGAAGACGTGGCACTTGAAGATTGGATGGCGATTCAAAATCTAAAATCCCAATCACAGGGTTTTGAAATTGGAGAGAGAAACAAAAAGGATTTGTTGGGAAAATCTCAATCGATTGAGCAGGGTGATATCCAAGAAAATATTAATGAATCTACTGAAAAGGTAGAGGAGAGCTTGGCTGTGTATCATAATTCGAAGATAGCTGCTCCACTTCAAAATATTGGTGAACAGAACATGGATGCTGGACATAGGCTGGTGGGTGAAACTTTTAGGCCCAACAATGAGGAGACCACGGAATCTGTTAATGGGCCAACTCAAGGAAAAGATATGGATAAGGTTCCAGCAAACATGGGTGATGATATCCAAAATGCCAAAAATGCCTTTCCAGTAAGATGTAATCAGTTCACATCTGAGAAAGCTTCGGACGATATGGAGGGACCAAATCAAAAACCAACCATATTAAAAGGTTTAGAGGTAGAAGGTAATATTTCATTTTGGGAGGGGATGGCCAGTGAGTCAGAAAGAGCTGTAAACTGGAGAAAAAGACAGGTGAGAAGGAAGAAATCAAAGAATCGCACAAAGAAGAGAGCCAGATCTTGCATCGCAATCTACAAAGCAACCTCAGCAATACTCCAAAAGAGGAACAGGGGTGAAAAATGTAAAGGTACACAACAATTGAAAGAAAATCTACCAACTTTCTTGCCCAATCCGAATAAAGTGGTGGCTGGTGAATCTGTGGGTGACAGTGGCATTATAAATCGAAATAAGGAGATTCGCAAAGGGTGGAAAAAACATAGAACTGAGGAAATTTGGGAACTTGCTAAGCAGATCGGAATAGTTGGTCAAGGTGAGGAATTGGACATATGCCAACAGATTAAACGCATGGAGAAAAGAGACAGAGCAGCTAAATTGGGAACAATAGCAATTAGCAAAGGCAATGGAAAGCAGGTCAATGAACTCGCCCAATGATTATTCTTTCATATAATGTTAGAGGGTTGGGGAAAAGGGAAAAAAAGGAAGGAACTAAAAGAATTAGTGATGAAGGAGCAAAAAGATTTTCTTGCAATACAAGAATCCAAATTAGTAACGGTGGATAGAAGATGGTGCCAAGCTCTATGGAGTCATGATAAATTTGAATGGGTGTTCAAACCATCAAATGGTCTTTCAGGAGGCTTAATTTGTGTATGGAACTTGGGAGTCTTCAAAAAAGATAGAGTGTATGAAGGGGAAAACTATATAGGTGTTTATGGGTTCTGGGGAAAAGACGCTGTGCTTGTTCACATTATAAATGTGTATTCTCCTTGCAACATTACTAGCAAAAGGGCTCTGTGGCAGGAGTTAAAATTGCTAGTGTTAGGCACTAAAGGCAATTGGTGTTTAGTAGGCGATTTTAATGCA